CCCGAGCTCTTGTCCCCACCTTTGAAAACTTCTGTTTTAATCAAAAGAGCTGCTGTTTTCATAGTTCCACTGTTGCAAAAGGTAGGCTGGGATTCAGTGAGACGAATGCTTCCACCTGTGGCTTTAACATAAGGCAGCAGTGCTGTCCCTGTTGAATTGTCCTCAGTGTGCCGTTGTTTCCAGTGAACATGAAGGGCAGGTGTACTGGTGAATAAAGCAGCTGTGCCTTTGCTGCATTTGTGAGAGTCAGATGAAACATAAAGGAGGTCTGAGAAACTGGAGAGGCAGAAAAACGTAATGAGGTATAGAAACGGAGGGGAGTCAATAGTAGGAGCTATATGGCAGAAGCCATGGTAGAGCAGGGGAACTAACCCTCCTAACAATGTGAGCTGTGCACCAAAGTCACGACACAGCCCAGGGAGTGACAGGGTAGTTCCTCAGATGTATGAAAAAGGATCAGGAGCCAGGAGGGAAATGATACGGGTTTTCCCGGTGTCACTTTTCCCCTTGGTTCAATCTGGGCTGGGCGTGGAGCAGCTGACCTGTGGCTTCAGGTGCACCTTCTTGCTTGGGGAGTGGGTCCATCTTCCCGCAGGCAGCTGGACTGCTCTGTGAGCCTGGTGCCAGCAGGGCTTCATCTCACAGCCTGGGCCAAAGTTTGACCGTAGTTGCTGTCAAGTGTCGGGTCTGTTGGAAGACCAGAGAGGAATATTAGAGTGAAGGAGTGTGGTCAGGGTAGGGAGGATGTGGGAACAACAAAATGTAAGCAGGAGAAGTGTAAAGGACAGAAAATGACAGAGGGAAGTTATATATAGTTAGAAGAGCAGGAAAATAAATAAATGTATATAGACAGGGACACAGCAATATGAAGGGCAAGGAAAGAGATTGTGCCAGGCCTGAGACCAGAGACAAAAGAAAGGCAAATGCAGAGGTAACACAAAATTTAATGAGCCAGGATGGAGGGCTAGAGAATGGTAGGGTAGAGAGGATGTGAGCAGAAAGCTGAGTAGGTGCCATGAGAGTGTGCGAGAATTTAAGAAGGGAAAAGCAGGGAGAGTGATTAGGAACATACAGGTAAATAGAAAAGGGGCTAACATTCAAAATAAGTTAGTACTGGAAAATACTGGAGCTAGGACTTCCTACTGAAGTTCGTAAAAATTTATTTGCTCATTAGCTTCGTCAGTAATGGCTTGGGCTATGTGAATAAGAAGATGCCTATGGAATTTCTGCTGACACACAGCCAGAAACGGGTGTCAGTACAGAAAGTGTGCAACAGAACATGGAAATGTGTTGAAATTCATAGTAGAAAACAGATCAAACTCTTGGCTAAAGAATACATGTATTTCTCCTGTTGGTTTCTCCAGTAATCTACCAACCAAGAAAGAGGAGGACCTATCTATATTACTTGTTCGTTGGGTGGTGTGTGACATGTTTGGTTTGTTTTTTGTTTTTTTTTTAAAAAAAAAAAGGGCCAAAAAGAGCTAATGTGATTTCAGGCTATTTCAAAGTGTTTCTGATACAGACAAAAAAAACCCACAAACAAACAAAAATGAACAAAAAACCCCACAAACAAAAACTAAAAACCCCAAAACCCCCAAACCAAAAAACTACCAAACAAGTAAAAAACCCACCAAAACAAAACAAACAGAGGCTTGAGGTGCAAGAATTTGGCTCACCAAACCTTACCAAAACAAAGCCAGGCAGATGTGGTACAGGACCTTAGGACAATAGGGAGAGAAACTCAAGGAAGCAAGAAGCATTCAAACTGAAGGCAAATGCTGATGTAAGATTAAATAGGTAAACTGGCCATGAATAAATGTGGTCTAG